CAAGGTGCACCATGCTAGACCTGATCGGAAGACCTAATTTCTCCATAGATTTCTTTTTCAGTAGGTCTTCTATCAAATACTGGAAACCGCATAGTTCTAACTCTTTCTGTTAAAAAGTTATTCAAAAAATACTTTTTTCCATCCTATTTTAAAATGGATAGTAGATCACTAAATTTTACGATTTTTCTCCGCTCTAACATCAAACATCACATAATTCATGAATTTATTATATTCCAAGAGAAATTTCGATGTCATATACTCAAATTCCCTGAACGCTGTCAGGGAATGTGCAGATTCCCCAGGGAATGTATAGATTCCCCAGGGAATATGCACATTCCCTGATTTCCTACATTCCCTGTAACATATATATGAGTTGTTCACATTAAGTATTCGAAAGATGCGAAAATCCCTGCAGTTTTTAAATATGCATGCACTGTATGGGAGAATATCGTAAATCGAAAGTGTAGACTTATACTAAAAGTAAACTTTACTTTTAAAAAACTTTCTCGAAACATATTGTTCAGTTTTTGACAATCTAAGTATCAAACTACATCTGTTTAGAGTCTTTATGAATTTATAAAACTCCTTTGTGAATAAAATTGCACAAATTTATTTCAGATTTATTTAATTTTGTCTCTATTTAAGTGCAGTACTATTGGGGGATAGATATTATCATTATATGTGTGTATAAAAAGGAGAACAGTACTCTTGTGTTTGAATGTTGGCTCTACTTCTATATGTTCGTGTCTTTTTGTTTAAGGTGCAATAGTAGGACGAATGAAATTATTGCCATATATATTATTTATATTTCTATGGTCGACATTTTGTTATGATCCATTAGCAAGATGGGTAAGTCACTGACGCTCTTTATATGATTGGTCTGTAGGAGTATAAACAAATATTTTGCGTTATTCATCAATAGATATTTTCCGATTATGGCTGGCTGAATCAGTATGGCTTATTAGATTTTGCTGGTGGAATAGTTGTCCATTTATCAAGTGGTGTTTCTGGTCTTGTCGCAGCTCTTATACTTGGTAATCGTGTTGATTTTGACCCAAATAGACTCCAAGTGGGACATAATCTCCCATTTACAGTATTAGGCACCGGTTTGTTATGGGTTGGATGGATTGGTTTTAACGCTGGTTCTGCTCTTGCAGCTAATGGTCTGTATTTTATATTGTCTGTTTTAATATTTAATACTTCATGTTTTTTGTTAACAGGTACTGCTGCATTAGCTTTGATAAATACAAATACATCTGCTGCATCAAGTCTTATGATATGGGTTATTATTGATATGATACGTGGTAAAAGCATAAACACTGTTTCCATAGGTGGTGCATGTTCAGCAATTGTTGTTGGACTTGTTGTCATCACACCAGCAGCAGGATATGTTCAGCCAGGTTGGGCATTACTCATGGGTATTATTGGTGGCGCCTCGATCAATATTATTTTATTAATTAAGAAACGATATTTTCATCTTGATGATACATTGGACGTATTTGCATGTCATGGTATAGGTGGAGCTATCGGATCACTTCTGACAGGTTTATTTTGTCAGCAGAATATTAATGCTTCAGATGGTGCATTGTATGGAAATCCAATACAACTTTGGTATCAATTACTGGGTATTCTGGTCGCTGTTGGTTATGCATCTGTATGTACAATAACGATCCTGTTACCAATGCATTTTTTTATTGGAATCAAAATAAAACGTCGCGAACAATTGAGAGGTCTTGATCATGTGGCACATGGTGAAAATTGGCAAATTGAAGTTATTACCAATGGTAATAAGAAGGTAAAGAAACCAGAACAGCAACCAGTAGAGGAACCAGTGTTAAACAATCCGTCGACCTATTCAAATAGAGTGATGATAATTAATCGTTAAAAACACATAACATTGAGTATCGAATTACAGAATCTCTTATATTTATCTATTTTATTCATATGTTGATTGAAGTAGAAAACGTATATTTTTGGTACTGTGAAACGGAAAAACAAGTACAGTACGAGTGAAAATAAAGTTCCCCATAGATCTTAAGAATCGAGATAGCTTGTAATCAAATTTTTACAGTATCATAACTCTTATCAAGTTTAAATATGGATTCATATCATGAGGATCTTATTGAACCAGAAGTCTCAATTTAGCTAAAATGAAATGTTATTCATAGTCGTCATTTTTATCTGCTATTTCAACCATTCTATCCTTTTCACAATGTCTCTGGTAAATTGTCTTCACGTTTCAAGCGAATATTGAACGAATTGTTTCGTTTGGATAGGCGTGTGCGAACTGTTATGGTTACTTTTCTGGCGATATCAAATAGAGATCATGGTAAGGTCCTCTTTATGTTTTAAGTGGCTAGAACTTTCAGCTATTATTTTCTGTTCTACGTGTTGTTGCTTTTTTAAGGGTGAACGTCAGTGATAGACAGTCGATGCTGCCAAGTTTTGAATATTTATGAATCTATTCGTAGATGTGTTGGAGACGGCATATCTCGACTCCTAACGCACCGATATATTATCTTACCATTTTCCATTCTCTATTTCTTTCGCGTATATGACATCACCGTTTTCTCAGTCTATTTCTGCCAAGTCTATATACAGTAAATCGTGACAGTCGTCGTAGCGACTTATAGCGACTGAAACTTAACTGTTGAAACGAGACTGATCTTCGAAATCTAGAAAAAAACTACTTTTCGTTCTATGAGTTGGCTTAGGCTTCAGAATAATAAGTCTCATCATTTAAATTTTAAATTTCCATTGTTTTGAAAATAAGTTACGTCGCTATTGGCGTGGCTTTTGCGCTTGCGAATCTCGTTAACTACGCATAGAGCATTTCCGCATGTTAGGCCAGCAAATAATATGAAGAACGCTCAAGAACTAAATTAATTGTGAGTATTTTTATATTTTTACAGCTTTCTGTCATGAAAAAGTGTCTAGTACACATTTAGTTGCAAAAGGTGACCGGTATGCGTGCCAGACACGTTTCGACTGGAAGCCGTCAGTTTGACACTCCGTTGACTGCTTCATGGAGTCAGACGCTTTTCTCACTACCATTATATGTCGGAGAAACGTCTGACTATAAGTCGCTAAAGCGATTATCATGATTTATAGTGTATGTGTAACTGTTGAGTGCATTTTTATTATTATTCATTCATTCTATCTATACAGTCTGTACAGTTAACATCTTGCTTTTATTATTGCTTGAAATATACACATAGAAAAAGACATTCGATGCGGAGAAAACCCTGAGTTACATTAGCGAGGTCCCGCACACGGTAATAACATGTATCCGAAATTTCAAACAGCAACTTATCTGATTTGTTTAGATATTATACATTGTTAAAGGAAAAGAAATCGTTTAATAACCTCAGATATTTCTATGTAGTTATGTTTGTTTTTTTATCCTAACTTTATTAAAAGTTTTAAGTCACATTTCCGTCTTACTCTATGACACAATGTAAAGTTGACACAATGACGTGAACAACAATGAAAGTTCATAAACAAAGAGTGTATGAGCCAAGAGTGAATAAATTCAGAGCATGATAACGTGGCGTTGTACTCAGTGTTATGATCTGCCATTCCTGGCAGCTCATAAGACTATGTTCTCTTCTTTTCCTTTCTTTCTGCTCTTACGTAATACTTGTGTCATCCTCTGGTTTTCCCAACTCTTTCTGTTCTTGCGTAACTCCTGCGCAACTCTTGCATAACTGTTGTTCAACTTGTGTACTATATATAGCCGTTCACTTTATGCAAATAAGGATGAGAAGTGAGTGAGTACAATCTCACAATTTCGTTTGGCCTTCGAGTTGCCACCCTCGAAGTTGTTTTGACTTGCCTAAATGTCGACGGTGTAGTTGGTCGAGGAAAAGTCATTCATTTGAAGCCTCTTGGTTGCCACCACCAAAGGCCAATCGTCAAATTGCTCGAAGAGGAGGAGAGTTACCATCCCTTAAGTAAACCGTACGACGCAGCACGCCATTATGCCGTTTCTTTTTTCATTGTCTTGTGATTTGCCTGGTCGACGATCCACGTTGATCAGAAGACGAGGACAAACTTCCGAGCCAAATAAATGTTTCATTATCCGAACCGCACCGCATCGTTCAACGGCTATATATAGTACACAAGTTGAACAACAGTTACGCAAGAACAGAAAGAGTTGGGAAAACCAGAGGATGATCCAAGTATTGCGTAAGAGCAGAAAGAAAGGAAAAGAAGAAAAGAACATAGTCTTATGAGCTGCCAGGAATGGCAGATCATAACACTCAGAACAGATAATCTGCACATGGATACGTATAATACAGGATTACTGGTTCACTCAAATGAATACTACTATCTGTTTCAAAAATAAACGTTCATAGGTCCTGAACCATGGATTTCTAAAATGTCGTTTAGATCCAGTTTGCATAGGACACTTCGGACTATATATCTATGAAAGAAAATTCATAGGTTTCTATGTCAGCTTTCCGAACTGTTTTTCCACAGATCGATTTTTCAAGAGATCTGTGAAATTTTTCTTAAATTCGTTTTTGCTTATGGAAACACAGCTTCAGGTCTTGACTAAGGAATGGTGAAAACCGCAGGCCTCGAACTTCTATTCCTTTTTAGTTATTCAACTATCAATCTTGCTTTTGGGTGTTATGATCTGCCATTCCTGGCAGCTCATAAGACTATGTTCTCTTCTTCGCTTCCTTTCTTTCTGTTCGTTTTGCAGTTGTTTTCCAAATTCTTTCTGTTCTTGCGCAATACTTTTGTCATCCTCTGATTTTTCCAACTCTTTCTGTTCTTGCGCAACTTCTGCGCAACTCTTGCTTCTTTCTTGTACTATATATAGCCGTTCACTTTATGCAAATAAAGATGAGAAGTGAGTGAGTAGAACCTCACATTGGGACGGATAATAGTATGACACATTGTTGCTTCGTTGAATCAGATGTTGATTCTGTCAAGATGCATTCCATTTACGATTTATACTTGAGCATTATATTCAACGGTATCATTATATTATTTTTATATAGACTTTTGTGTTCGTTATGGAATAAGATGCGATGAAATTTTCTACAGCGTAAGACTATAGCGTCATTAAGAATTAATTAGGGGGTTACGATAACAAAGGAAAACGTATGTAGTTACTGAAATGGTTTGAACAAAGGCACTCTGGTTCCACTGCAGGAAAAACTAGTCTTCTGGTCAGGAAAGCGGCGATCAGAGAACCAATGGCTATCTTTTTTACATTGCAATAATCTGGTCACTGCCCTGAGCAGACCATCTGATCCTTCACTACAGTTTCTATTGATAAGATAAGACCAAGCAGAAATATATATGTATCCTTACTACAGTACAAGAACAGAATTTTATATTTATGTCAGACAATATGAACACCGTTTGTATAAAAAAAGCTCACGTTCACCAGTGCTTTAGGATTCACGTTCAAGGGACGAAACGTGAACTTTTACAGGCCTAGTGCGGCATCATGTTATAGTACAAAACAGTAGTGAACGGTAAGTTTCGCATTGCCATGTAATATTTTTGATTCAGTTTATACTTTTTGCTTAACTGTTGTTGTTGGTATTGAATTTGAACCTAGGATGTTTTTTGTTCGATTGAAGCTGAATTAATAGTGGACAAAGTAACAAAAGCAGTTGCTGAAAAGATGAGTTCAGCTGTAATAAAAACAAAGAATGATGTCAGTCGATCGATTTTTTGTCACAGATTTGTGCTATAGGAAAAGAGATGGATTTTGAAGGCTGGATATTATCAACTAGAAAAACAAACAGATTTTCCTAATAGCAGAAAAAATTCTTACACGATCCTTTTTTGACTGGAGAACAAATCATAGTAAAAAGATTAGCAGCAAAAAGCTGTAGAATTGATAGGATCATCAACACGAAATAGTACAGAATTATTATTTTGAATAAAAGAATCTTCCACTGTTCAAACGGTACATTATAAGCACCTGATTTATCACTGATCGAAGAACTTATTGACAAATTTGATGACAATGAGGAAGAAAACTCAACAATCCGTGCACAAACAAACAGTTAATTTTAAAAGCAACAAATTCATCACATGATTTGTCGCTTGGTGATTGAGTAGCTATTTTTTCTAATTCGAGTTAGTGGGAAACGGAAAGTTCAGCACGAGGAAATTTCAGCACGGAATTTTCAGCACGGGAAAGATCAGCACTAGGAAAGATCAGCACGAGGAAAGATCAGCACGGAATTTTCAGCACAGGAACGATCAGCACTAGGAAAGGTCAGCACGAGGAAAGATCAGCGAAAGTATTGATATTTCACAATTTGGGAGCAAAAGTCAAAATTGTGATTCTTGCAAAATGCCAAGAACAATATATTGTATATAATGTATACAATCTATGTTTGTAAACTGGCATGGATTGTGTATAGGTCATGCCTGCAAATATAAATCTATATAAACCAAAAGCACGTTTGGATATAGATGGTTTCTCATATATAACGGCTCGTTGTACGAATGAAAAAACATATTTTATTGATCATTTTTCTCAAAATTGCCACTCTCGTCTTCATACATGATTACAATGATATATTACGTGCGATAGAATCAAGTTGTTTTAAAACATCTGCATGCGGGTTAGAGATAATACTTAACAAACGTTTTTCAAAACGTTCGTTTCTTTTACTTTCCAATTTGAGCGCTTGACCAGCATTAATGTGTAAAATGTCCATATGTGTCGCATTTTCTTCTTCAATTAGCTTCTCTAGGAAGGACCAAAGTGTTGGATGTGAACACTGAAAAACCGAGCCGATTCGACGATGATAAGCTTCCGCAGCGTTGTTTGTTCTCATGACCGCCTCCGTTGTCCGATGGTACATATTCCAAAAATCAATACCAAACTGGGCTTTTCTTTTTTTCTTTCTTTTCTCAAAATCTTTGTAGCTTTTCGTAATTACAAGGTTTCTGCCCCATTTCAAAAGCTAAAAATTTCGGGTTGATCTTAAAATGTAGCGAAGACTTAGTTCTACAGCATGCCAGAGCCTGATTTTCTTTTTTAGCATTTTTTTCCGGGAAAATACCAAGTATCCGAAAAATGGAGAAAAGTTTCGCTAACTTTTTGGAAACTTTATTTTTTCCTGGTAAACAAAGACAGATATGAAAATCAGGCTCTGCTATGCTCTACAGCTAAGTCTTAGCTACATTTTAAGATCAATCCGAAGTTTTCAAGCTTCAATTATTATGCTGAGGACATGTCCCTTGTAACTGGTGCATGCCTATACGTACTATCAAAGGTTCTTCTGAAGAAACTTCCGAAATTCCAGTTACATACCTTTACAATAGTGTGTCACGATAAGATCCGGTGTTTCTTGAGTGTTAAGCGCACGATAAACGATTTGTTCGTCAAATTTACGAAGTTCAATCGCTGTACCATCAGTTTTACAACTATGTTCAGTAGCAGGTTTCACAATATTGTTCGTAATAATACATGTATGAAGACAAGAGTGATAATTTGAGAAGAATAATTAATACAACGCCAATATATTTTTTCATTCATCAAGACCAATTCACTTATAGTCCCATTAGTAGAGTGTTAACTTAATTTCAATACTTATCTGTCAATCTCGTAATTAGCTTTATTTTTTAGACATAATCTATACATAATTCTTTACAGAGTTTATAAACAATTATTTGCTTTATATTGTTCTTGGCATTTTGCAAGAATCACAGTTTTGACTTTTCCTCCCAAAATGTGAAATATCAATACTTTCGCTGATCTTTCCTAGTGCTGAACTTTCCCGTGCTGAAAATTCCGTGCTGAAATTTCTGTGCTGATCTACTTCAAGATCGTCTTTTTGTTTGATAGAGAAACGTTCCAAGTTTTATTTCATATGCTTGGAAATTTTTGTGTAAAAAAGGATCAGTAAGGAAAAATAATAAAACTTACAACATGTTTTCTGTTTAAGTACTTGTAATAGCGCATAAAGATTGTTGAGTTTGTCAGAATTAAATGGAATCTTTATCAGAGTCGCATTACGTCTCATTTTGTAGAACTCAGGTTGCTCTACAATCCCACATATTCAAATGTTTTGCCCAGCTTAAAGTTTTCCCAGAAGAAGTTAATTTCTCCATATTAGCACGATCTAGGGATTGCGACTTCTGCAATAGCCCGATATAACCTTTTACAGGCTTTCAAACTATTCCAGTTTATAAGGCTACCTTCTTTCTATAGAATTCCACTACTAGTTTTAATTCTCAAAGATCTAAAAATATTTCTAATTAGTTCTCATGATAGGTTATTTGTATTGTGTAAGCATCATTACCTGCATATGGTTTCTTTCGTTCTATCAAAATTTGCTGATTTTTGATGATATCTATAATAAAGTCCGCTTAAATTTTTTTATCCTTGCTTCTCCTGCAGACATTTTGCTGTTTTAATGTTGTTTCCTAATAAAAATAATATTTTCTATTCCTTTGCCTATTAGAGCACTAGCAAATAAGGAGATATCCCGTGGGCGGACATTTTGCGTCTCAGCGCGTCGATTGAAACGAAAGAGAACAGAAAGATATGCATGTACAAAACGAGATATCTTGCTAGTGCTCTATTGATCCTCTTATTGATGTCTAACACCATTTATTTTTTTTACTTTATCTTCTATGTTTGTATCCCGTTTTCGTATTTTTTTCCATAGCTGCACATGTGATATTTGAACCGGTCTATTTTCATTATAATTTCAATTTATTATTTTCTACAATATATTTATCAGTTTTTTATTTGGTTCAATATAAATGCTCATCTTATTCTACCCTCCCCCCCCCCCATAATAGATGACCATCCCCTATTAGAAGACCACTGCCGGTTAAATGACTTGAAAGTCAAATAGAAGACCATGGTCTTCTATTATGTCCGCGAAAGAAATCGGAAAATGCCCTCCCTATAGGGGAATTTTCAAAACAATTTCGCTAATATGTACTTCTAAGAGAAGATGGACTTCAAGTACGTAGGGGTTACTCTTAGACTACTAGCAGGCGACAAAATTTGACCGCAATAGAAGACCACCCTTTAGAACTCGACTTGCGGGACAAAACAGAAGACCAGGTGGTCGGCTATTATGGGGCGGGGGGTGTGTATACTGTAATTGAGTCATTTTTAGTTTATCAACCGTCTTATTTTTAACCTGTTGCTTGCTTATTTAATTTTGTCACGTTAAAATAAAATGTTTTTCGTAGTAACCTACTTTTATAAGGCATTCCAGCGTATTTAATACATCCTCAATATCTTAAGGACATCAGGATGTCTTACTATATGCATCAGAAATGCACTTGATTTACCTGGGAAAAGATATCTGGAATATCTTGACTAAACACCCACGATGTCTCACGAAGATACTATGAGTGCATAAAATTGGAACTCAATTGCCTTTGTAAGGCATCGTTACGCGTCTTTTACATGAAGATTTTATTTTACTGATCAAAAATGAAGTCACCTCTGACGCGGTAGTGAAGTGCATTTTTTTTCCCTTGAAAATGCACCTCTGTTTTCACAGTGTATGACTAATCTAATACAGGATGACTACCCGTATATCGTATGGCCTGATACAGTATGACTAACCTTATACAATATGGCCTGATACAGTATGACTGAGTGCGTTTTTTCTTCTGTCCTGGATTTTTTAACACAATTACGTCTGTTTAATCGGTAGTTCTTTCTCTTGATTATAGAGATATTGCAAAAATACTCATTACTACTCTAAAAAAAATTTCCGTTTTTTTTATCAAGTTTGTCTTTGTTTCTTGAGTTAACATGTCTCTATAATCAAGAGTCTTAGAAAGCACCGACATGTCTCGTTATGTTAAACACTTTTGAACACAAACGGAGATACTAGGAGTTTTTGTTTGAAAGATCTAAAGAGAAGAAAATAGCAAAAACGTGTGGAAATTATGTTTTTGGCTAAGTTACCTGGAATGATCGGTGGATGGTTTTTGTTTTGATATTTATGAATTTGGAAAACCCAACGTGGCAGAAGAAATACGCGTTACAAGTTTAAATGATAAAATTCGCTCTTCCCCAAACGAAGAGGATTTTAGTTGAGATTTTTCACTATGAAGTCACAATATCAATATACATGGATGGTAAAAATTTTAATGCTACATCTAGCGCGATCTTCGTGAAATCTCAGTTTTATTGCTTTCCTTATCGGATAGTACTCCCTATTGCGACATATGTAGCTCTAGAAGAAAATTATTTTATTTTAAACATAATCTAGTCACATATGGTAATAACTTTAAGGCAATGAGAGGTGATCAAGGCCTAACGTCATACTGCATGATTTTCTTAGGGAGTGGCTCTTAAAATGTCCCACCTATAAAAGCTAAGTTCTCATGACAGTCATATTTTTTGTGGAGATTTTTCCACAGAAAATCAAGAAACTTTTTTTTCTAACCTCGAAGGTTCGAGTTGAGTAAGTAAATAAATTATGCATTTAAAAAGCATACACTTTCTTTCTTTGTGGCAGAGAACTGATTCTTTACAGTTTCTTCTCTTTTGTTCGTGAAACACGCGTGCTAGAAAAACTACCAATTAAATAGACGTAATTGTGTCGAGATCACGCGTTTCAAAGTCACAAACAAAAGAAAGCACATACTTAGTCATACTGTAGAAGGTTAGTCACACTATAAGAAAAATCGGTAAACCATGACAAAAGAAGGTTCTTTAAAATAGAATCTTATTTTATTTCAACAAAATTAGAAATATATCAGACATATAATATTTGATTTTGAACTATCCTTTTCTAAATAGAAAAGTTGTTTAATTTTTTTTTATAATGCAATTTTTAAACATTAAATTTTAGTATGAGTTAGGATCATTATTTAACTGTATGTAATGAAGTCAACTTTCTCTCACTTCTTCAGGAACAAATTACTGAAATCTTCAAGTTTTTCGTTTTGCTTGCTAGAAAATGTTTGACTACTTTTAGATAACTATGAAAACAGTAATGTCGCTAGAACAATGTCCCAATGAGTTAATAATGGAAATATTTATGTATGTTTCCTCAATAGATTTATTTAAAACATTTTACGGTTTAAACAGAAGAATTGACTCCGTTCTTCATCATACCACATGGAAACTGAATTTGTCAAATCTACCAGAATACCAATTAAATTTTGTCATAGAAAATATAATACCTATATTCTGTCATCAAACATCGTATCTTAAATGTAGAAATGACTCTTTTTCACCACAATTTAACATAAACAAATTTGTCAATTTAAAATCATTAAAATTATTGGTTTATTCAAAATTACATTATGATCAGATTAATAATCTTTTACCTAAATTACAAGAATTAAAATTTTTAAATACAATAGATTTTGATACATTTGGTGATGAAGATAAATGCGATTATTACAATCAAATATTTTGTATTTCTTCACTTAGACGATTTACTTTAACAGGTTATGAATCTGCAAATTTGAACAATCTACTGGATCATTCATTAAGACGGTCAACGATTAAATATGGTGTCTTATCATCATGTATATCAGTTTTAACTATACGGTCTTTGTTCAACGATCTGTATCATCAACATTGTCGTCTAATATTGTCTATTTGAAACTAAAACCGTGTCAATTGAATCATCTTTATGCACTATTAGCAAACTTACCGAAATTAAAATATTTAATCATTGAAATTCGTCAAAATTCCGTTCCATTCTTAACTGAAAATCGTTTTTTAACAGTGATCTACTTTGAACTACACACTCTGGGATCTATTGAGTATGATGTTTGGTCCAATCTAATGTTATCTTTTCCAAATTTAAATCGTTTAACATTTTTTTCTCAAGGTGACAAACTAATAAATGGTCAACAATTGCAGTTAACATTGTCAAAACTTTCTTGTTTAACACAACTTCGCTGTTCACTAGCAGCATGGGGATACAAGGAAGAAGATGCCGACAAAGTGTTCGAAACATTTAAAAATGATTATTGGCTCAAACAGAGTAAGAAATGGAAAATAAAATGGTCTTATAGTGACACTTATGCTCGAGTATATACAGTCAAAGAGGAGGGTAAATGAATAAGTTAAATAAAAGGACTCAAAACATCATTCTACTTGAGAAATATTATCTTGTTATCAATTCTACAGCGCATAATTCAATTATTTTTGAAAGTTTTTGTGCCTGAGATTGTTTATTGGCAACTAATATATAATTCCGTATCTTAATATTCCAGCCAGTGTACATTAAAACAACGATATCTCATGGAAAAACACAAGTATTTATTGTTAGCTTTAGAGAATTCTATCTTTTCAATGAAGATGGCTGTTTTCATTTTCTGTTTTTAATCTATCATAATCCCGTGATTGATGTAATATATGAATTTAAAATCGTAATCCTGTACTTGGTGTAATATATGAATTTAAAATGATTACGATTATGATACAATACTGGCACATTAATACTTGTATGTTGTTATCGTCATTGTTCACATTAATACATTTTTATATCTATACTAAACATTCAGATTAACTTGATTATTCTCTTATATATCGTTAACACCTTTAGTGTGTTTTGTATATATCCAATGTTATGTAATTGTTTATCATCTACCTGTGTTAAACGCATACATCCGATATCGCTTATCTAACGATCCAGGTGAAAGAAAATGAGATCAATAAATGATATGACAAATGATTGATCAATTAATGGTATAAAAACGACAGGGAAATGGTGTAATTTATTGATCATTTTATGATCATTATAAAAATTGGCCATTAATGATCAAGTCAGACAAAATGCGCAACAAATGCTAAAATGATCATTCAATAATGCTCATTTCAAGGTCATTTTTACCACATTAGCTTAGCATCATTTATGGTGCAAGTACTTATCGGGTTTCTATACGATTTTTATATCGTTTTTGAATTACTATGACATGATGATAAAATGACTAAAGAATGATCATAAATGGACCGCTAATGGTCGTCCTAAAATCAGGAAATTTCGCTACGTTTTTTTATAAAATTAGTTTTTATGTTTGATCATTTACACCATTGTAGCTAAATATGCATCAAAATATAACTCCTACACATCGAAAAGCTTAACAAAACGTTTAAAGATACTTTTTATCGGACGCTTATTTTAGTTTTCTTTTACTTTTACTTATGTTCTGGAGCAAATTACGCTTGCTTATTCACTAGAAACAAGAGTGAGACGATCGACGTTTCAGCACTTACAATTAACTCTGATCCGACCACCAGGGGGCCATGCGGACTCCAGACAAAACGGATGCTTTGGAGATATGTTTTGCTACTCTGCCAGATAAATAATGAGTGGATGCAATCAGTTCATACTGATAGTGCATTCTATTGTCATTCAGTGGAATATAAAGTGAAGCGCCAAATCTAGCCGCTGTGTTCAGGCAGTACCTAAATGAAATCGGTAGACATATTACAGGTAGTCGGATCAGGGTTAAAAGTATAAAATTACTGCTAAAAGCGGTTAAAACTTTTTGTGACACATTCTTGTTCAACCACTCTCTAAAAACATCGGTATTTTAAAAAACTAAAAGAGTATGGCATTTTGAATGTAAAAGCGATTTTGGTTCTGTACGAGATATATAAAACCAAATTAGCTTTCGCCGTAGCCGCTAAACCATTTGATTTTTTAGTGTACCGTTTAGCAGACAAACGAAAATACCAAGAGGGTTTTTCATATTCTAAGATGTCCTTTAAGGGTTTTTCATTTTTGATAGAATACCAAAAGGGTTTACTAAAATATCCATGAGGGGGTATCCTACAGAACCAAATTAGTTGTGTGTTAATGTTAAAATACCACAGAGTATTTGATTCGCTCTTGAATATCAAATGCAACGTCGCTCAACGGATTTTTGAAAACTGAAAAAAGGTATGATTTAGTAGGTTACCAACCGTTTTATAAAGAAAAGTTGGGCGACGTTTTACAGTACTAAAAAGGGTTTTTTCTCCAGAATAAAAATTATATTTAGTATTCAAATACCAATATTTTTTTCCTGAAACCCTCCATCATTCTTTCTTTTTCTTTTTCTTTATAACAGTGGTACGGACAAAATGGCAATAGTCTGGTACGAGAAAATAGTAGAATTTTCTGTGTCCGTTCTACTATTTTCTCGTACCAGACTATTGCCGTTTTGTCCGTACCACTGTTATAAAGAAAAAGAAAAAGAAAGAATGATGTGATTCGAAACGTCACGAATAAATGAAAATAATTTTATTAGGAAGAAAATACCCTTTGCGAATTATGAAGAAAGGATATCGAAATTATATTTTTGAATAAATCAAATTTTGAACGTATACTCCACAATCGTGAATACGAAACTATTTAGTTTGGAACACGATCACGATCACGATCATAGAGAAAATGCTTTTGTCGCTCACGACCACGTTCACGATCATGAGAAACCGTCTCAACCACGCACGAACACGGTCACGATCACGATCGTCCGTGATCGTGAAATTATCGATCACGCAGAACACTATTGCTGACCATCGATTCATATAATAAACTTTTCAGAAAAAAAATTTGAACCGATTCTGTCCTCCGTATAAAAAGTCGATTTTGCGCTAATGTTTCGTGTTATCAAGTTTAACTGATTTCTCGCGACATCTGTCTCTGAACTAACTTTTACTCTAACTTTAGTGCCATAACACATAGGAAATTCTTAATGCAACGTTTAGTACAAGAGTGTCTCGCTAGAAAGACTAATCGGTTTCTCACGGTTCATGCCACTATTATTTTTTACAGTGTAGATCCAAGGCCTGTTAAACTATTACACTGTTATAGTACAGAAATAGCCCATAGTTCTGCGCAATACACACACTAAGTACAGACAAAAACATTTTCTCTTCTGCGCGAAAGCTGGCTCAAAAAAGAAATAAACATTCTTAAGTAGCCGAATATCAATTAAAACGAGAAGAAATAAGGTGAGGTATTCAGGAAATAAACCAGAGAATTGTTTTTACAAATTCAAGTGATTTTTGAGGTTATCGAAAATTCTTAATGACAGTTTCTTCTTTCTACAAAATCGATATTTCAGAAAATCGCATGCATTTTCTATAAAATATAAAATGTAGATTTGTTATTTACAATAAAAACTCAAAAAAAATTAGAAAATGCTTAACGATTTTATGATCGATTTTCCATACATTAGAAATTAATTTCTTCTAATAGTGTACTGGTACAAGAGATCGAACATACTCACGTTTGGCTGAACATTTTTTTATTTACAATGTTGTAATCTGCTTTATAGTTTCTTAATAGAAAAACAGTGTTTCTTTAAGTAGCAAATGTATGTGGTTTCAAACAAATACTTCTAACAGCTTGCTGACAATACATATAAAGGACGATAAGTACCAATTCACGCTCTAGAGCATTTTCATAAATAGAACAAGTAAAAGTGTTCCTTCAATTGATGGAAAAATACTAGCAAGAAGCAGAAAAAATGGGATGTAACTGAAGAAAAATTTGTGATTTTACGCTCTTAATATTAGAGCTTGATGATAGCTGATAGTCTAGACAAACGCACTATCAGAGAGAAAAATATCTATTGAAATATTCAGAAAATATGGCTGCTTCTCAGACTTATTCAAAGCATGATTCTCCTAAGCAAGCGATAAAGAAGGCAATCTCGAAATTCCCGTTCAAACATTGATTATAGACGGCTGAAGAACTAGAGAAGATTTATTTATTTATCATACGACGCATTTTCAAATATTGAATACGTCAATGATGGCTAAGTTAGCATATAATGCTATGTATTAACAACCATCAATAAATCTCTTTATAAAAGTTTTCATCATTACAATCCATATTCATAATAGCAGACGTTTTTCGAAACGCTGCAATGATTAGCTTTCAGTTGATCATTGTAGTAACTATTATAATATTAACTGGACTACAAACAGAATTACAATGACTCCTTTGAGTTAGATTATCAAGGTTTTTTTGGTTCAGCCATAAATAATCAGAAATTATTGTAAGGAATAAAATATTATTTTCTTTATATATAGATTTATGTGATTAGTTAAAGAAATATGCATGCAATCGATGCTTGTTCGTTATTCTGTCAATGTTTCGATTGAAGACGGCTATACTCTAGTTACTGAGAAGAAAAGGTATTGTAGAATATTTTGTGTTCTTCATGCGTTGATTTTATTCACCCTTGTTTGTATGCATTTTTACCTTTCTTTCGTTCTGTCTTAACAACGGCAAACGCATGTCTCTACAAAGAAACGAACAAAAAAGGTAAAAATATTTAGTAGTAAAAAACTTCAATTTTCTTTGACTTTAATTTCTTCTTATTTCTTCTTACAAAGGACAGCATATTGTGGTATGTATTTTACTTCTGTTACTTCTAGGACGTTAAGTGTTCAATGAGTAATGCTTCTGAAAAAGGAGTTCCAAGTGCGAATGATATTTTAGAAGACAAATGAGAGGCGAAAGCTTAACATTTTGTAAAACTTTTCGAAACTGCTTGAATGTGTTGTCGCAAATTTTGAAACAAATCGTCTATTTTTTTCTACCTGAAAGCGACATGAAAATGTAAAGGTCTCAGTTCAGAGAAAACACTGATCTATAATAAATAGTATAATAATTCGAAACAGGTTTCAGTTAAAGGAAGAGAAGATGGAAATGTGTTTAAGATTAAAAGAGTAACCGTATAGGCTAGTAGTACCGAAGAGCACATTGCTGGACCAGAGCACAGATAAGTTTACCGAGCCAATGAGCATTAGATAGCTTGTCCAAGAGTATCACGTAACCGCTGTTGCCGCGATTCACACTTCGTATCTTTGAAGTACGCTGTCTGCCCACCGGCCGACTGCGCCACGCTGTTCGCTGCTCAGCGTGCAATGGCTTTGATAGCGGTGACAGAAACTCGTACCTTTTGTAAAACAGATATATAGTACCATTATAATTTTTCTTGTCTATTAGTATCAAGTGTACAAAACAAGCCTTCGGTTAATCCGTTTAATGCAAGCATCAAACAGAAAAAACATCAAGACGCTCAGTAGTGCCTCAACTGCTTCTGATACAGCAACAACAGATGATCATGGAACGAAAGGAAAAATTCAAGTTCAAGCACGTGAACCTGAATCGTCTACCCGTATATTGTTGGGCGTCGTGACTGTTTCCTTATTAGCTATACCTATATGTTATATATTATCTCATGTTACACAAATGGAAAATTCATTCTATGTTTTTCTTTGTGGTGTAGTTATTTGTACGTCTGTCGCACCACTAACATATCATTTATTGATTAAACGTATACTTCACGTGAAAAGAGAAACATATTTTTATGTGTTTACAATATTTTCATTTACAGCCATGGTTGATCTTCTATTAGCATTAACAATTGATAATTATTCATCAGCGTGTCATTTTTATCTAGAACAAGGTGAAGTGTATTTGAAGACTTCTCACGGATTATTTATTAATTATTGGGACGGTACCGTACATTATACACTGTACTTAATTATGTTGTATTGTATCCTAAAGAAACAAACAAACAAAAAATTTTATCGTTTTCTCTCATTATTTTGGTGTGGTTCTATTTTGAACTCAATGATTGTTCTGCTTGGTGGGGCTGCTGCTGGCCAGTTTGGAACCCATATTAAACCGTCCTATTTGTTGAATATACCTTATGCGATGTTTCCGTTGATATTTGTTATACGTCGATTCCGTGCGCGTACAGATTTTATTAATCAACGACAACAAAAGAGAGGAAACAAAACGTATACCATTCCAAAATCGTTAATATCGCGCCCTTTGGATATATTTTTCATCGCATATCTATTATTTGCAATTATATTTGCAATTTATCGCGTATTACATGTTCTCCGTTCCCCGATGATGACTCAAAGTGTCTATTACGAATACGAACCCTATATGTTGAATGCATCAGGTTTTCCGTTGATTCAACTGATAACATATGCATTCTATTTTGTACCATATTATTGTTCAACGATCAACGCATTGCTATTCTATAACCAGCAATCATCAAAATTTCAATGGTTGCCAGACTGGACTATGGTGCATGCGGGAGCGGCCGCTCAGGCACAATTCTCTTACTTATTTTCCTCATTACACAGTCCTACATTATTCCCTGATTCATCTTGGTCTGCTGTTCCATCTCAGTATCGGTTCATTATCGTTGGCTTGAATTCAATTCTAGCTATTGTACCACAACTATTGGCGTTTCGTATTTGTGGTGGTGTAAAAGATCAGGAATTTTATTGAATTATAGGACGATAAAAAGCAGACGAAATGTAGAACTAAAGATCTCTTCTGCTAAAAACATTGAACGGAACAGCAACCCTGCAATATAATGTCACGCAGTTTAAAGATTGTTTTGCACCGATAGGATGAAATGGCATTCTTTTTTGGTCTCCTTCATGCCTTGTTACAAAACGAAAATTTCGTAAATATGTATCAGTAGAACTAACAGTCGGTTCCTCGATTTGGTATCATAGCGAACCGCAATTCCAGTTCCCGAAACCATGAACAACTGAAATATATTTATTAATATATTTTGTAACAAGGGTACACGGCGAAAAAAAAGTGCCTTTTGATGAGATTTGGGGCACATGAAAGTGCCCAGTTTTTTGTTTTCACGTTGACTGTGGTGCACTAAGGGCACTTTCATGTGCCCTAAACTAGATATGGCCAGGGCTCTAATGTCACCTGAAGTCACACGGTACGGCTTGGAGGGCTCTAACATCACCTGAAACAACAGAGTAGGGCCAGGGCTCGAAGGTCACCTGAAGAAACAGGGTCGGGTAGGGCCAGGGCTCCAGAAACAGCCACCCCGCACATGTCTACCCTAAACCTCATCAAAGGGCACTCTTTTTTCCACAGTGTAGAGAAAATGTATAACAGCAGACAAAATTATAACTGAATACTCTACTGTCAACATCAAATATGATTTATTTAGTTTTAGGAAATGTACTAGTCTGTTAGTTCATAGAAATATATAATTATTAGGCAGAAAGATAAGACCCGATGTCGCACTTTTTTTCGTGATACCGCCGGTTACCGACCGCTCTATAGATTATCGCTGGTTAACCGTACCGTTCGGTATAACGACGGTTTTTTCTTCTACCGGCAACTACCACACGGTAGTTGTTAGGCTGTGGTACAAAATCGATTTAAATCGCTCAAAATCGGCCAAAATCGAAAAGAGCTCCAAATAAGCTGTTTCCCCCTTGCCGTTTTGACACAATCACCTTTTTGTTTTGCGGTTGTCAGTCTATATAAGAAACGCAGAAAAGTCAGAAAACATTGATTTTTTCTTAGATTAAACTTTCTCTTTCGGGTTATAGAGACTCGTCGAAGTTTGCATTTTAAATAAAATAAAATACACTTTAGATAAAATACCGGTTGATACCGCCGGCACAATCGACCGATATACTGCGCGGTTCGATAGACCGTGCGGTAATTTCACATGTCCATTAGTTAACCTCTCATTATACTCGGCGGTATTTTAGCGGTTCTGATGACATGGGACGATATACAAGGAGTAAAAGCTTTTTCTCTTTAGCGACAACCGTAGTAAAAGTCCTATAAGTTTCCTGACAGGATCCTAGACATATTCTACCAGTATCCTCAAGGATTTCGCTTTAATTTCTTAGGATCCTAACAAAATCCTGTAGAATCCTAATGAAATCAGGTACATCCCAAAAGTCATAGGATTAGATGGCGCCGTTATTACTGTAGTTATCAATTAACCTCCTACCTTCCACAGACTGCTTCTTAATTGTGGCCACTATTTTTTGCACTCACTCTTACTTTGCTTCCCACCCTCTGATGTTTATTTGGTGTCAATTAAGTCTTCCGAAATGAGGCCATATTTTATCAAAACAGTGGTCTCAATTTAGAACATTCGCTTCCACATATCACTTATTTGCGAAACTGCGTGTGCTAAAGTTTGATAGTTTATAATACAATTCCATTTCAAAGTAAATTCATTCGGTAAGAACACAGATGTCATAATCCAAATACGGTATATATCGAGAATGCAAGAATCCCAATCCCACTACTGCACGTATCGAGATTTCAGCTAAGGTACATGCAAAGTAAAGTTCGTGAGGGTTAAGGATTATATTCATCACTCAATGCTTGAGAAGAATGAATGCCTTGACCAGGACGTCGGCCAGAATCAGTTAGATAAACGTCTAATTCATACTACCTTGCTTATCGTAGTTGGCTGTTAACCGTTCTAAGATGCTTAAACCGCATGAGTCAACACCAGTAATCGCTACTTTTCTGATACTTGTAGAATTTGAAGCCATACTACTGCAAGATAACAATCTAATGGACAATGGCTCAATACACACAAATCCAAGAGATAATGACCACTTTATAACCACGAGATTTCGCGCATGCTTGTTCATCTTTACAAATGGTCCGAACTGAGGTAGTCGCGAAATATTTTTAAGTTAAGATTATGAAATACAAGAGAGTACGTCGATAAACACGCAGCTCTATGATTCTTGATGTTTTAAGTTGTGTTTTGATTGATCGGTTCATCTGAATAATCTAATTTGCGTAATCAACTTGTAGATTCTGTCTAAAACTGATCGTCATACAATATTCAAAGTAAAGCAAGGCAATGTAGCAGTGTACGGCTCTTGATCTAAAAAGAAGGTCTAGTCATCAGGTCGCCGACGCATTGTATGTCGCTAGTTTATCGGAACGTGTCAAATTAGACAACGTAGCGGCTGTTAAAGGATAAAAACCAGCACTTATATCTCACAAAACTAAGTATGAACTCTCAGAAATTCCTAGACCCCAGGTGTATGAAAAAGGAAATATCTATGCACTTCTAATTCAATTAAAATTATGAACTTTCGAAGATTTTGCCGTTCTACGGCACCAGAGTGGCTAACTTTCATAGTGCATAGATGGTTTATGTGCTATCCACTTACAACGTGCTTGATTTTAAGATAAAAGGAGTGTTAAAAAAGAATAAAAAACATTTTTCAAGACTAGTAACAGCTGCTACGCTTTAATCCGTTCAATATTTTTAATCTCCAGCAATTCCGATAAAGTCATTTTCTAAACGTATTTTTCATGGTTGGCGATCTGATGATAGTATCTGGAATTTGGTATACCCTAGTCGTCAATTCTTATATAAGAATTGGACAGGAATCTGGTAAGGATCTTGCCAGCTTCTTGTCTGCTTTTCCTAAGAATCTTATCCGATTCTTATCAGATTCGTATATAAGAAGTGGCACGAAAGTTGCATGAATTTCGTAAGAATCAGATAAGAAT